ATAGTCGTTGTTCGTGAGACAGAATGAGGAAAGTGTACATTATTTCCGATTTAAGTATTTGCAATATTATGAAATCTTACTTGAAGTATAGGAGGGAATTAGACTAAAGAATTCGACATAGGAAATAATACATTTTGTGCATTTAATTTAAAAAATTAAGGTATGTTAAAAACTGATATAGTTTCTAGAATTATTTAAAATCAGAGAAACAAAAACTAACTAATCAATATTCAATAGAACTATGCAAGAGTATTCAAGCATGTGCATATGTGTTTTAGTTCATAAATAGTTTGCGAATACAAAAGCATTTTTTTATGGTTTTGATTGAGGTTGTTTTTTATTTTGGCTAAATAGTATCTTCCTTTAAGAGGCACTGACCTACACACACACACACTCAACGTACAAGCGATTTCAATTTGATTGCGCAATTTTCTACAAGAACAACAATAACAGAACAAGACTGCAAGGTACATACATAAATACAAGCAAATTGCACTGCAATTAGATAAACTGCAGGTGTCTGTGAGGGGGATGGACACAGCTGTGGTCACATAAATAGTAGTCAAAAAATCTTTTAGGTGCTATAATACCCATATATGAATTTTACATTGGTAAGTAATACTTTAATTTTCTTTAAAACCCAAATAAATTTAAGTTGTGTTTACCCTTACACAAATCCCATTTATCAACTTTTAGTTTTCAAAAAATTAATAAGACTTAAAAAAATAATTTATTGCTTTAGACTACATACTAACATAGACTTATTTATTTGAGCTATAAAACTAATGGAATGTTTTGACTTATGACATGTGTATCTATAGATATTATATTGTTGTTATTTTGACACACCTATAACTATGTTGTGCTGGACCGGCTTGGCTTATTAGACGCTCAGCTCAGCACATCCCGCCAATAGACAATAACAATGTAGACGGACCGGACCACCCCCCTTTTTCCACCCGACAGAAACACTCTTCGGTGCTCCACGACGTTTTCCGACGACAGCCAAGGTTAAAACTATAAATAGATATGGAGAAAAATCAACAACAACAGCAAACAATCAACAACAAAAAAAGCGAGTTGCAAAATCTATTTTTAGCTGACAGCAGCGAGACGCCGACTGTTAAAAGAGTAAATGAAAAACTTGAAACGAAAACAAGGCACGAAATACAAAACTAATCTAAATCCAAATCCAAGTCGAACTTAGAATGCCCTTAATAAACCAACAATGAAACATCGAAATTGAGTGATTAAATCATAATAAAGTTATCCTATTTTGATCGTCATGACTAGAAAATCATTTGTTTGAATATGTGTTCTAATTTATTTAATATTATTTAATTGAACAAAAAATGTATACAATTTTGAAAAAAACTTATTTTTATTTAAGATTTTATCAAAAGTATGAAAGCAAAGTATTTAAACTTCTTCCACATTAATGATGAACTAGATTAAATAACAACGAATAACAACGATAAGTTCTTTGGCAAACAGTTTAAAGATAGCTGTGCTAAACATAGAATAGATTTCATTCATATTTTTAGCAGGTATAAAATTACCTATTATCAGAAAATCTTTGAGAATAGTTTGTTTGGTTAATGTAATAAATGAAATTGCATTTCACATCTTGATATCGGTTTGGTTAGTAATGAGAACAAATTTAAACAGTTGTGTTAATACAAAAGCCAAATAGTTGGATTAACTTAATTAGTATATATTATTATCAGCTGAATGTCAATCTTACCATATAAATTACAAATAAGAAAAGTAAATTATTGAAAAACCGGCAAGCCCGCGCCCCAAAAAGCTATTTGAAAAGAGCTGACCCGAAATATTTACCAATTCTGTTGCCTCAGCTGGCGATTCTGGGTGCTTGGCCCAGTTTAAAGAAGCTTTGGCAGCGGCAATGGGTCAAATTAGTTTGGCTGCCGAGTCGAGTGCTCTGCCCCGTCCCCTCGGAACGAAAAAAAAGTCCATTCCCATTCCGAATACGAATACGTATCTAACGTACGTGAGCCAACGCACACACGCACTCTTGTTAAAGAAAAGCACAGAAAAAATAAAAAAAAAAAAAAAAAAATAGGTGCGAGAAATCAAACTTGACGACTACGTCACTACGAAAAGTTTCAAGTTTCCCCGACTCATTGGCGATATCGATTCACTGGATGTGCTATTGGAAATTACTAGAAATACACCGAGAAAAATTACACCTTTTATGGTTAGCTAAAACTATAATAACAGCTTCTAGTGTTTGTTCCACATTAAACAGTAAAGAAGACCTACACTCAGAGAACACACAAAAAAAAAAACGAAGTTACCTACATTTTAGGAATATAAACTTCCTATTTAGTTTAAATATTAAATATAACATTTTTAATATACAATTTAATATGTATTGTATTTAATATTATGATTTATTGTTTTATTTAAATATTAAATATAATATTTTAAATTCAATAGTCAGATATTTAGTTTTACTTTTTCCATTATTTACAAAAAAGCAATTGACTAATTTAGACAAAGCAACCCTGTATTATGCCCAAAAATTATCAGAATTTAATCATTTTTGGATATCTACATACTTAAATATTCAATTCATGTTTATTTATAAGATTTTAAAATCGGGGCATGGCTGATGAAGATGAATGCTATAAATTTGGAAAAGCTCTTTTCTTTCTTTGTCAGGTGGCCTGGTTTTTTCCTCCGTGTAGAACAGTTACACTGTTTAGGGCCGCGATAGTTAGTGGGCGGGCACAAGATCTTTGGCCATCTGATAATACGATTGCAAGTAGAGAAAAAAGCTCATTAACTAATGAGCGGAGCATAGTTTGTTTACTCTTGCTGTGTTTTATATCAGCAGAAAGTGCAAGGTAAATATAAGTCAGTGTAAAGGTCTAGTTACTTCACAAATTCAGTATGCTCTTTTAATTGCAATTTAAAAGGGAAACTATGACAGAATTTCCAATTAAAATATTTGATAAAACTCAATCCGCGAAATTGGTATTAAATTCGCAATTTTGTATGGGAAATCGTCAAAGGCAATTTAATACAACCAAGCAAGCACATCACTATTAAATATTTGCAACAGCAAAATATTCTAGCGTTTCTAAAAATACAATAATCATCCGTGCTCCCATTTTCAAAGCGCAAGGTTTTATTTTTAGGTGCTTTAAAATTCGCAACTTGTGTGTCAATAATTTTATTTCTCTTGGTTTTTTTTATATCGTTGTCTTTTTTTGCATGAACATTTTTTTAGCTGTGTCGATCAAGCTTAAAATATTGTTTAAGGAAATTTAATAAGGTTTTAGGGAAGGGTGATGCAAAACCGACATTATTGAATTTTTTTTTTAATTTTAACATATTATATTAAGCCTTATGGCGTTATTTTGGCTAAGGAATTTTAACCTTAAAATAATGGGATAAGTGTAGGAGGGGCAAAATCGACATTCCAGTCGTTTTTTTTTTTATATTTTAATCTAATTTTACATATATATATATATATATTTTGGTATATTTGATAAGTTTCAGTAAAAATGATTTTCTGAACATTCCCTCAGTGGTTTTTGGGTGCCAATTGACGAGCGTTACCTGTGGACGATCACATGTCCCAGGGATCCGCCAATAATCAATAGTTGGAAGCGAGTCGAAAACAAACCATTAACCAATAAGCAATAAACCCCCTCACCCACATCAATCAACTCAGCTGGTTTGTGTGACGTTTTGGCGAATCGGTTCAATGAGTGCTAAATAATTTCGGGGTTCGTGACAAATAACTGCGACGTTGACGAAAAGCCCTAATAATGATTATAATCAGGGGACCATAAATCGCAGGGCGTAGTTGCGGCACGAAGGATAGCCCCCGCCGATCCCATTAAGGATCCCAAAATATGAGCTTAATCGCCATGAAATAGACAATGTATATAAATAATATTAATATGCATGGCAAAAAGGGTGGCAAGACTGCATAAAGTGGAATGCCAAACTCACCACAGTTCAAAAGCCCCAAAAGAGCTCCAAACGAGTATAGTAATCTCTCTCTCCCTCTCCGAAAACCGGCTTTCGTTATAAATAACGCCGCTCTCCGCTAATTTATCTTTAGACCAAGTCTCTAGGGTTTCCGAATTTTATAACTATTCGCATAATTGTTGTTTTTATTATTCAAAAGATTAAAAAAAAAACATGCAGTTTGAGAATTGTTTTTGGCTTTCTAATAATCTTGGTGCTTCAATAATTTTTTTAAATTTTAGGAAGTACATATGTACATATTTGGAATGGCTGATTTTAAACAACAAAAACAATAACTTTATTTTCCTCCTTTAATTTTTAAAAAGTACAAATTTGGTCCCAAGGTGTATTTGTCACAGCTTTGTGGTTTTAATATTGTTAGCTTGAACAATGCAAGTTTATTTACACTAATGGTGGCAATCTAAGCATGAATTTCATGTTTTTAATGAACTGTAATGTGAATACGCTTATACAATGAACAGTGGTTGCTGGTACAAGCGAAAAATAAAATATGTTAGGTCAACATTTTGAAACCGTATAACTTGAAATATTTTTTAGAATAACAACAATCGTTCGTTCAGGTTCCCTAATGGGGGTTCACATTTTGAAAAATATAAAATGTTATAATTAAAATTAAATATATAAAAAATATAGGGGTAATTTTGTCCATATTAAACCATTTAAGAAAAATTGATATTTTTGTTTTGAATAATTAATAAAAGCCATGAATTTATACTGTAAATTCCCACATTAGGCACACTGTGCTGTAGATAAATTCAACATTCGAGAGAGAAAATGAGCGATTTTAACATTCATGCTAAGATACAATTAACAGTGGCAGAGAGCGGGAATTGATTTTTTTCGTTTAGTATGGTATGGTGAAAAAGTTCTCTTGAGAGAGTTGGGTGAAGAGTAGCTCTCCCGGTGTTTTTTTTCTTGTTGCGTCGGCAGCGAGTCGACAGAGGCAGAGCTTATAAATAAGGCGAGTGGCCCGAAAACAAATTTATTCGACAAAAAAGCGAACCGACGAGCGGATAAGGCGAGAAATACCTGAAAGGCAGCAGCGTAAAACACGAAAAGCCAGAAACAGTATCAGAGAAACAGCAAAATACACATCAAACAAACTGAACATAAACCGAAAACAAGAAACCGTAAAAGAAAAGTAAGAAAAAGAAGCGAATCGAGGCAGCGTAAATAACAAACAGAGCGAGTTGAAGCGAACTTTGAAAACCGAAAAAACAGATAATACACAAAGTCGTTTTTCCGGAAAACGCGCGGAAAAGTGAATTTCCATTTTTTTTTCGAGTGAAAGTTTTTGGGCGCTAACGCCCGCCCACGCGCCACGCCCACAATGAACCGTTCGAACAGCTTTGTTAGCTCGCTAAAATGGTGGCCACTGCAGGGTCACAATAACCAACCGGCGGCGGTGGCGCCACCTGCCGGCGGCTACTCGCAATCAGCGCCCAGTTCGCCCACCTCCAATTGGCCACCGCCATTGCAGCAGCAGCAGAATCCTGCCGCCCACCGGCTCCTGCCGCCCAACGCCCACCAGAAAGTGGCCGGTGGTGGTATCGCCGGAGTCACCTTCGGCAGCAGCGTGGCCGTTCAAAAGCTGCGCGAATCCAAGTGGTTCAAGCCCGAGGAGCAGCGCATCTTTTGCGCCGTCGTCGAGTGCGGATTTGTGGTCGAGATCCGGAGCATCGCCGCCGCCGAAGCAGCTGCGGCCAATGCAGCAGCCGCGGCAGCTGCCGCCGCATCCGGCGATGCCGATGGCGACGATGACGGCGACGTCGACGCCTTGGAGGAGATCGACTGTCCGCTGACCCAACAACCGCTCAACCCACCACCGAAAGCCCAATCAAAGTCCCAGTCCCATCAGCAGCTGGTCATTCCGCGCAACGGGAGCAGCTTCCTCGAGACGCAGGACGAGAACGAGACGCCAGTGGCCTCCTGGTACGGCATCGTCCTCTGCAAGGTGGCCAAAGGTGAGTGCTAAAGCCATCTGTTCTCATTTTCACATGTATCTTTTTCATAAAGTAAATATTAAATCGAGAAAAGACAGCACTGCTCGATTGAAAATCTAAATCTGCAAGTTGGCCCAAGGTGAGTGCAAAAACACACCGAGAAAAAAATATAAGCAGCAGCTCTTATCTGTTTTATAACTAATGAATATTAGTTCAAGAAAAACTAATCAATCTGCAAACGAAAGACTTATCTGTTGCATATATTGATGAAATATGCCTATACGATCTGAAATCACTTTGTGCAATTTTTGAAATTCCATTTATAAGTGCAAATGATGCAATACAAGCAAATAGCTTTAGTTCAGACTTCTTGATCACATGCATAAGCAGCAAATGTTACTGGGTTTTAATATTTAATTGTGAATTACTTTTGTGGTTTTATTGGGATTCGTTATCTTTTATTATGACTGACTAATGCGCTTTGGACAAATAAGTTGTTAAAAAATGTTATCCCCCAAAAGTTTACATTGGGTTTTATTTAATTTCTTTAAAATGTTTCTGTTGGTGCCCAATTATACGATTTATTGTATTATCTAGGATTTTTTTTTATATTTCGATGCCAATCTCAAAATTTTTTATAACAGTATACATATCTGTAGTTTTTGGTCCAAAAAAAAGAAAGAATTCACAATTATACATATGTATGTATGTTTTTGTTTACTATTGCTCTATTTTTAAATTCAGGTATTACTTTCTTTTAAGTTATGCATTGTTTAATCAGTTGTTCGTACATGGAGTGAAATTTAAATGTCTTGGAGACATGTCGAAGTTCTACTGTAGGTACGTCATCAAGGAGCTGTAAATTTAGTGCAGAATACCTGCCCAACTTTCCAGTTGATGAACAATCACAAAACTTCGGACGTCAGAGAGTCGTTAAGCTAATCTATGGGTTTGGGTTTTTGGGTGCATGTCGGAATTGTAGAATGTCATTCAATAAACAAACAGCACACACATGCGCACTGGCTACGGCGTACACACACGCACACAGGAATACTTTTATCTAATTGCAAATAGAATTCAACAAGAATATCAAGAAAGGGCTTATCAAATGCGACACTGCCAGCGCAGTCGACGTCGGCAGAGGGGCCATTCACAAAGCTTCGCCGACAGCTGCTAGAACATTCCAAAAGTATAGGCTCAAAAAACCCAAACACGAAGTTGAAAACAAAAGAAATGAAGTTCAAAAACGAAATCGAAAACGAAAACAAAAGAAACAAAATAAGAAAGGGGGAAAAAAGGTGAATAAAAACAAGAAAGAAAGCAAACTTCGGCAAGCCGAAGTTCATATACCCTTGCAGCTATTGCATGAATTAAATACTTTTGAAAACATTTAAATTATGATTTACTTCAGTATATACTGAAAAACAGTGAAGCTATGATGATTTGCAGCTCAATTATTAGATAGTTATTTTATATATTTTTATTAGTTCTATGGGAGCTATATGATATAGACGTCCGATTTTGATAAAATTTAAACCATAATTCTGAAATAATTAAACATTGCCATATGTCGAAGAACTAAACAAAAAATTAAAAAACAGAAAAGTTATAATTTTTTTTCATTTATTTCTCCGATTGTTCCTATGGGAGCTATATGATATAGTCGTCCGACTTTGATGAAATTTAAACCGTAAATCGAAAATATTTAACCATTATTAAATGTCGAAGAACTAAACAAAACATTAAAAAACAGAAAAGTTATAATTTTTTTTCATTTATTTTTCCGATTGTTCCTATGGGAGCTATATGCTATAGTCGTCCGATTTTGATGAAATTTAAACCGTAAATCGGAAATATTTAACCATTACTAAATGTCGAAGAACTAAACAAAAAATTAAAAAACAGCAAAGTTATAATTTTTTTCCTTTATTTTTCCGATTGTTCCTATGGGAGCTATATGCTATAGTCGTCCGATCCGGCTCGTTCCGACTTATATACTACCTGCAATAGAAAGACAACTTTTGGGAAAGTTTCATGCAGATAGCTTTAAAACTGAGAGACTAGTTTGCATATAAACGGACGGACAGACGGACAGACGGACAGACGGACAGACGGACAGACGGACGGACAGACGGACAGACGGACATGGCTAGATCGACTCGCCTAGTGATGCTGATCAAGAATATATATACTTTATAGGGTCGGAGATGTCTCCTTCACTGCGTTGCAAACTTCTGACTGAAATTATAATACCCTCTGCAAGGGTATAAAAATATAAACACATAATATAATATTATGGTTGCTCAGCCGGGTCTTCACTGTGTGAGTGTGTCTGTGTTGAGTTGGGTTGCAAGTGGTGAGCTTTGCTGCATGGCCACAAATTCACCACGCGCACACGACTGTTGCATCTCGTGTACCGGGCATTAACCCACCACACGTGCTGCAGCCACACAAATGTATGTTTATACGCAAGTGTATATAGTGCATATATGTATATGGATACAGCCAAAGCCACAAAATAGCACTGGTTTAGAAGCAGTGTTTTCTATGATTCGGTTACGCTTAATTTGATAATTTTACTAATCATTTTACACCTAACCTTAATGGTTTTTTAAGTTTTATACAATATATTTAATTAATATTTACCACGTGGGTACAAATAAACAAACGCTATTTAGGCATCGCTGAAATACTATTATTAATTTTAAAAAAATGTGTATTCATTACAGTTTAACATTATTTATCTTTTAACGTCTTACATTTCTTTTAAACTGAAGATTCTAAGAACTTATGTAAATTGCAACATTAAATACAATTTTAGTTTAATAATTTTAATAAAAGAACAATTTGTTATCTGAACTAATTCAAACTGAACACCTACACATGGTAATCGAAGAAATAATGATTTTGCTAAAAAAAAAAGAAAGAAAGACAATGACAGATTGAGAATATTTGATTGATTTCGCCCTAATAGTTCGAAATGCGTTGCGAAGGGGGACACACTTTTGATTTACCTTGGCCTCCTCAGAGACATTTCTTGAACCAGATTTGTATGTACAAATGTGCAAGTACATATGTACATACATATGTATGTAAATATTTGTGATAATGGAAGCTTTTCTGGTCAGCAAATAGGGCTCAGTCCAATCAATAAAATGCTGCACTCTGGCGTTAATCGGTTTCCATGGCACTTGGCCAGCCACTGATTATAGTCCAAAGGCAAATTACTCGCACTTGTCCGATTATACATGCTATATGTACGTATGATACACATATGTATGTATCTTTACCCAAAGAGTCGGGGGAAATGGCTGTGGAAATCGCTGGGCATTGCGCATGCGTGCTTATCAATGATATTTACAATGGCCCCCTGACACGTACGACAAACACCCACTTCTCTGCCAGTATTAAGTTTGATTGATTATCTTGCATTAGAAAGCGTTACAGAAAAGCAAATATGCATTATAAATCCATAAATATGAGAAGGGGGCTCTTGGGCGAGACAGGTGACACAGCTTTTTTTGCTCCACACAGCGTTCAATGATCCACATCCACATCTTGGGGGATACAGTGATCATTCAAATAAAAAACCTTTAGTTTCTCATTGTGTTTTAATTTTTACATCTCTTGATTAATTGAGAGAAAGACAAATTATGAAGTGATACAAAAAAAAAAACACATTAAATAAAAAGTTATTAGCAAAACGACTGACATCATTTTAATGAAATTATATATTTAAAGCAATGTTATTTTATTAATTGGCTCATCGTTAAAGTGAGCTCACTGGAAATGCATTCGCCCAGAGTCCAGGGGGAAAACATTGTATTTATTATTATTAGTGAGATAATGGAATTGGCTTACAAAATCACTGGCTCAAGCGATATGAGCACACAACAAACAACTCATTCAGGCAGCCACCACCCGCCACCCACATCCCACAAAAATGATCTAAACAAATTTAAATGCCTGCAAATTGGTTGGACATGGCAACAAATGAACAACAAACATATTTAAAGCCGAAAAAATACCATTAGAGCAGGAAGAAGCAGAAGCGGCTGACTGTAAAATACTAAGGAGTGCTAATTATTGCATGGCAGTCATTAATTCACAAATGCCATAACGAATTGCGCAAACAAAAGAGTCACTCATGACCATCCTGGTTGCCAGAGATTGTCATTATGTCACTTGATTCCCGAATGAGGAGTTCCCAAATGGTGCCCAAGCATGACGAAAAAAGATATATAACACCAGTATAAAATCTTAAACTAGTAAAATGTGCTATATTTTATGTTGTTAGCAAAACCCACCTTTTTTCCACCTTCTTCATTACAGTTCAATCAATTTTCTGCGCAAGTCTGTGCAAAATCTTTCGACCAATGATCAAAAATCAAAATCAATTGATATTATTATTAACTGAATTGATTCTATGCAGGCATATATATATATTTCTACTACATGCATACAAACATACATACACAATGCAATTGAGTCCACCTGTTCGTGGGGGAAACATTCCGAATTGCCTGAATTGATGTTAATGGAAATGCAACACAGACTAATTTCGTTTTCTCTTGATCTCTGATTTCAGACAATAAGCCCAAGCCCGAGACCATTGAGATATTTTCTGTGAAAATACGTGAGAATGGCACATACAAACTAATCAAAATGCAGCTGGCGGATATTTGGAGTCATGGATGGGAGTTGCGCATCAATAATTTTGCCGACAAGGAAAAAGTGCCGCACAACGAAAAGGACATTCGCAATCAGGTGAGAGATATAACCACCAAATAAAATGGAATCTCAGAAGTTCGGGGCATTAGCGAAAGAGTGCAGCAGCCAATAAAATTCAATTATATCTACATATGTATTTTCTTAAAGATTTTTGGCATTAAAGTTATTATATTTTCATGATCAAAATTAAACAAATTTATCTGTTTAATCTTTGAAAAAATGTTTCCTTGAAATGTATTAAAGAATAATCATAACCAAGTGTTTCAGGTACTAAATAGTTTTGGGCATACATTTTTCCAGTTTAATTTTATTATAATAACTTTTGAAAGTCAATCAAAATAAACAATTTTTTGTTTCATTGAAGCACTACATTTTTAAAATTCACAAAAGCTAGTCACGTTTTTAATACTGGAAGTTTAAATTATTACCTAGTTTAACTTCATGAAACAAACTTCTGAGAGTCGAACGATCAAATGAGAAATAAACGATTCAAATTTTAACCCATTTCCGATACTTGCAGGTGTCGGTGGCGCGCAAGGCCAAGCAGAGTCTGTGGAACAACAACAAGCATTTCGTGTACTGGTGTCGATATGGAAGTCGTCAGCAGGATCTGCGGAAGCGACAGGTAACGACGAGTGCCAATCACGTGCTGCTGCACCTGATCAATTGATAAATTGATAAGCGGAGCCAAGAAGCCGGATGCCGAAAGGCGAAGAGCAAATGAAATAAGCGAAATGAAGCGCCGCGACACAGAAACCAAAATTTGCCAGTCCCACAAACCCTCTACCACCTGATCCTACCAATCCAATTCAAAATCCAAACCTAAACTTCCGCCCACCCACATGCATTGATTGTTGTAGTTGCAGCTGCAAAAAGCAAAAAAAAAAAATAACAACAACAAAAAAGCAATGTATAAACACAACAACACACACATACACACACACACACTGACCAAACCATATACTCAACGCATGCACGACAAAAAAAAAGTGGACTAAAAACGTACTGAGGAGGGAACCAGAAAAAAAGAACCATTAACTTTTCTAGGGCCCTATCTAAAACCAAATTCATCCAACCACTGAATCATGCTTGCTTTGCTCATATCCAATATTTGCCAAGTTACAAAAAAAAAAAAAAAAATATGAAAAGAAAAGAAAAAAAAGATGCTAACACAGAGAAATTTCCAAACGATTTAACCGATTTAGAAACTTAAATGCATCCACCCACACTCCCCACATATTATTTCGTTCGAGAAAACGATCATCTTCTTCAGTACTGAAAAGCATTACTTTCTGTGTATATATATTACATATGCATATTTATTTCTGTGAGACTGCAAACTGCCCATTTAATGTTGTATGTTTTATAATGTGCAAAACTGAATGTCCGGGGCCCGTGTGATTTGGTTTTCGATTTCGTCAAGACTTTGCTTGATTTTCTTTTTCAACCACTTTCAGTTAGATTTTCCGGATTCAAAGCCAAATATTATACGTTGAGTTTGTGTTAAGCAAAGGCTCAATGTCTGGCAAATTGTACTGGATTATCTGGCGGAATGCGAATGAAAAGCGAAATTATTGGCATTGACATTGGCATTGGCATTTGGGATTGGCGAAAATGAAGATCGGAAACGGGCCTCCTGGGCTGTCGGGCTGCCATTCTCTTCTTATTCCGGCACTTAATATTCCGGCTCTATATTCCGGCTAACCGCCTTCGCCTTCAATCGCAACCTGAGACGTACGTATTTCTGTTTGTACTCTGTGTCTTAAAAGTGAATCTATATTGCAGATGTCGGAGTGCGTGAAATGGGGCAGCGTGGGCATGAATGCGGGCATGCTGCTGGTGCTCAATAATCGGCAAAAATGCTATTCCCACTCAAAGTAACTAGAGAACAAAAACCAAAACCCTTTATTTTTCCATTTCTCTTTTTTATTATAAAACATAAAAAAAAGAAGAAATAAGTAACTAACTTTGCTGCCGGCGTTCCAGAGGCAACCAAACACAGACCGATTTTACACAGCAAACAAGTATTAAAGTAAATTCGGATGATAAGATAATTTATGGCTTAAGAACGCCAAGGGCAGTGGAAAAAAACCAAATGCAAATATACGTATTAAGTGCAAAAAGAGAGCCAAGAAAATTCAGATCAGGGCGAGGGTTTTTGGCAGTATTAAAAAAAATCATTTAAATTAAATCAAAATAAAATAAAATAAACTGAACTGAATTGAACTGAACTAAAAGCAAGGCCAGAGCAAAGCAAGAAACATGGTCTGTACTAAATCACCCTACACTACACTCCCGCCCATGATTGTATAGCTGTTGCAACACGAGCTACAATATTATCAAATACTTTTGTATTTACAATTGTGTATATGACACAGAACGAGAGAGAGAGACACACACACACTGTGAAATTCGAAAAGACTTATTAAATATTTGTTTGTTTATTTTTTTTGTCCTAATTTTTTGTTTTCATGTGATTAAATTATACGTATACATTATTATATTTATACATTTTGAATGGCAAGCATATGCAAGGCAACAATTTTTGTTTTCTTTGTTATTTAAGCGTAATTAAGAGAAACCCACAAGTGGGGAAAAACAAAAAAAAATAAAATTTTATCGAAAACTCTACGTAGCAGGCATATTAATTTAGCATTGTAAAAACAATCAAAAACATTCGAAATGTTTCGTTATGTATTTAGCTCTACATGACCGACAAACGATGACCCAAAGACGACGACCCAGAAAAAGAAACAGAAACAGAATATCTAAGCAAAAATGGCAACTTTAATTGCCGGAAAATATTTTGTACATAGGCAACTGGACTCCACACACGTAATTAAACAAAAAAGAGGATGCAACCCACAAAATTACAAAAAAAAAAAAAAATAATTTACAAAATTACAAAAATATATAAAATGAACGCTAGCTCGTAAGCTATACATATACATATATACATTATTACTTATTTTGTTTAAGTTTTGTCTTTTGTAAGCAATTTATAAAATATTTATAGTAGTCTTATATACATTTCGACAATGTGAGGAAATTTGAATATAAAACGTTTGTAAAATGCTTTATATTGATAATATTATTAAATGTTTACCAACGGATACAACAAAATGTAACGAGTTTTTAAAACTTACTGAATTGGGAAAATGAAATCTTCTAAAGGTAAGTTTCCTCACTGGTTTTGGTAGAGTTAAATTATACTTTAACAAGCCATTAAGTAAATCGCTTCAAAGTCATTAAATAATACTTTTGTACACACCTTGACATTGCTTACGATAGTACCTACACCTCTTCTAATCAATTAGATAAAAGTATCACCTTCAAAATTAATTGAATTGTTTCAATTTGACCGACCCATTTTCGGTTTTATCAAACCTAGCGGAATGTTTTCCTTCTTCATGAAGATAAGCGAACGTCAAGTTAAGCCAAAAATAATAAAGTCAGATGTGATTTTTAAAAAGATAAAAAAATTTAAACAAATATGTAGCTTTTGCATACAAAATAAAAAAATATTTTTGACACGAATTTGAATCTTTCTTGCTTCCTGCTTGAATGCAATTAAAATGGCACATAAAGGAAATATTTAAGGTATAGTAAAGTAAATTATTAAAAGCTAGCGAGTAGCAGTCAAGGGATTGGGTTTTCTTCTGTTGATCAGTAGTTTAAAGCATTGGAAAAGAAATTAATTGTATATATTGATGAAAAAATATTGATATCTCGCTGATATTGTTGAAATATAGGGAAGAATGGGTGGCAAAAATAAAATTAAACAAATACAACATATTCATACATTGAAAATCTATTCTGTTCGGTTAGGCATGAATATTAAGAAAAACAAAATGTCAGTGGAATGGAATCTGAGTATTTAATATTAACCCTTATTTAAATATATTTTCTTAAGATTCCAAAGGAAAAAATGTAAGTCGTTTATGCAACTCAAAAATGATTCATACGAATCGATAAGCACAACAGTAAGTGTCTTTGGGTTGAACCGATAATTGGGGATAATGGATTCAAAATAATGGTCATCAAACTCACCTCTCGCAGCAGTCCGAAGAGTACGTCCGTGGAGAGGGATCGCTCGTGGGCCTCGTCCATGATGATGGCCGCATAGCTGTCCAGTTCCGGATCGCGCAGACTCTCGCGGAGCAGGATGCCGTCCGTCATGTACTTGATGACCGTGCGCTCCGAGGTGCAGTCCTCGAATCGGATGGCATAGCCCACGTCCTCGCCTGGAAGAGAAAAGAGTCAAGATTAGATGACACACAGTCTATTCCAAGATTTCATTTCGAAACTAATATGGTTAAACTATTTAATTTTGATTCGTAGAAACAGTTTTAGGTCAAAATTCCCTGATTTGTTAATGGAACGTATTATCTAAGCAAAGATATTTCTCTAAGCACAGATATTTGTTAAAAAAAAAAAGAATTCACGATTCAAAAGTTAAACAAACAGAGAATTACTTCTTACATCTTATAAGATCAAGATAACTTGATTAACTGAATATTAGAACTACTTGTGGTCAATCCTTTACGTTTCACAAAAAATCTCTTTTAGTTCATTTAAAAATTTGATTTTAAAGTTAGCCAAACATTGACCTATACAAAATTGGTTTTTAAAGTTAAAAATATTTTGGGATTCCTATTATTCTATAACTCTTTGGAAAATAATGACTTTTTTCTTATAAGATATGTATTGAATAACTGAATATTAGGATTTCCTTGGATAAAACCTATTCGGAAAGAGATAGAAATATCTTTACGTTTCTCAATTGATTGTTTTTAGTTTCTAAAAAGATTTGCAAATGACAATGGAAAAATGCTTGCTAAACCCTTGCGATACAATGCTAACACAATGTGGTGAAATTGGGAAGTGCCTACCCAGCTGGGTGTCCATCTCGTCGGAGACGCGCTTGGCCACCGACATGGCGGCCACTCGACGGGGCTGCGTGCACCCGATCATGCCCCGCTGGCTGTATCCATCCTCGTGCAGATACTGGGTGAGCTGTGTGGTCTTGCCGCTGCCCGTCTCGCCCACGATGATGATCACCGAGTTCTCACGGATCACGTTGAGCAGCTCCTGGCGCGAGGCGAACACGGGCAGGAAGCGGCGCTGCTCCGAAATTGTCTTCTTGCGCGAGAAGTCACTCTTGCCGCCAGTTTCCTGGTCGCGCATGTGGTCGGCGAACTTCTGATCCTTGCGGTAGTCAGCCGTATCGTTGTCCTTATCGAAACGGGCGTCCTCGTCGTCCTGCGGCCGCTGGACACCCATGATGTTGCCCAGCTTGGTGCCGCCCAGCTCCCAGTGCTTCTTCTGCGCCTTGCGGCGCTCCTTCTGCTCCCGATAGGTGCGCACCAGGGCGCTGCCCTTCCGGGCCAGCAGCGCCATATCGGAGGTGGGATCCTTGACGGGCACAACCGGCTCCGGCTGCTTGGTGAACACGATGCGGCCGTCGAGGAACGGCGGTATGATGTGATGCACCAGCAGATGCACCCGCTCCAGCGCCTCCTCGTCGAAGTCATCGTTCACACTGATCGACATGACCACGCCCGAGGTGAGCATGCGGTTACGCTCCCACAGCTCGTTGTCCCGATTGTTCTGCCGCTGCTGGGCGCTGATCCGCTTGGTGCGCTTCTGCTCCAGCTGCTCCTCACGCTTGCGGAAATACTCGGAACTGGCGCCGGCAAACGGATTGTTCTCATCGTCGTAGCCCTCGTCGATGTTGTACCACTCGCGGTCCAATCGCCGCTGCTCCTCCTCCCACAGGTCCAGCGACTCGGCATCCTCGCCCCAGGGCGTGGCTCCACTGCGCTTGCGGTCGTGGGCCCACTGATTGTACCGATGGGCCGGCGTTGGACGCGCCGTGTCATCCTGCCGGCGATCCTGATGCCGTCGACTGCCGCCTCCGCTGCGCACCGACCAGTCGCGGGATTGACTGCTGTGGCGTTTCGGCGTGGGCATATCCCAGTCCGACTTGCGCTGACTGCCATCGCCATCCTCATCGTCCCAGGAACTGTTGGACACGCCGCTGCTGCTGCCGCTGCCGCCTGGAGTGCCCGGCTCCCGCGGCGTGTAGACACTGCGCTCGGATACGGAGCGGTCGCGATCGCGATCACGGCTGCGGTGTCGATCCCGCTCCCGATCCCGTTCCCTGCCTCTATCCCTTTGCCGGCGCCTATCGCGGTCGCGTTCGAAGTCATTGTCTCGCTCGCCGTCGCGCTTCCTGCGCCGATCACGATCGCGTTCGCGATCCCTGTCCCTGCCCTCCGCCGCGGAGGAGGAGGAGCTGGCCAGGCGGCCGCGCTCCTTGTCCCGCTGGATATGCTCGCGCAGACGTTCGCGGGCCTTCTCGGAAACGCCGCCCGTGTGCGTGGGCGTCTCGTCCTTGTGCTCGCGCAGCTGGCCGCGCAGCTTCTCGAAGCTCTTGGTGTCCGGCTTCTTGAAGGCGAACTCACTGGATCCGCCGGTGGATTGGGGCGTGGAACTGCCGCCGCCGGCGTCGTCGTACTCGCTGTCCTGGAAGGACATCAGTCGCTCCGATTGCTCCTTCTCGGCACGCCGCTTGGCCGCCAGCTTGTCCAGGCCGAGGAGCGATCCCTGCGGCACCTTGAATCCGCCGCCGCCTTTCGTTTGGGCGGCATCCTTGGGCTTCCGGATTACCAGGCCGCCGCGCGTCTCCTGACCCGTGGTGCCCTCCAGCCGGTGGACGCCGGCCTCGTCGTCGTCGGACATCCTGTCTTCCACTGTGTTGGTCAAGTGAATCACGCTGCTCCTTGGACTTTTCGTAAATCCTCCTCGTTGCCGCAAAAACGATTCATTCGCGTTGGCGTTGCTGCCGCTAACAGCTGATCGCCAGTGCTGCCACCCGTTTGGAAATTGGAGGGCGACGGTGATGCCATTCCGACTGTTTTATACCCAGAACTAGTTGTTTTGTTAACATACGAAAACAAGCATTATTTTAGCAACAAAAAATGTAACATATTTGCGTTAACGAAATTTAAAAAAATTTTTCATTTCATATATTTATTTTCCAATAACCAATAAAAGTTTGAAAAGAATTTTATGATGTTAAACTAAATATCTTAACAGTTCTAATTTAAAAAAATCATTTTGAAATCCAATCCAATCCAGTCCTAATGTTGCAGTACAAATTAGTGATAAAAAGGAATTTAACTTTTTAAACAGCGCGACCCGTGTTGAATTTGAGCCTGCCGGACCGCCAAAAAAATGAGTGTGCAAATTGAAGCCTACTGGCAACGCCTGAAGCTGGCGCCCTTGGAAAGCTTAAAAAAAACATTGCCCATTTGCAGTGAACATTTAATTGCATTAAATACATTATAAATTCGGTCTAGTCCTGGTTTTTATCCGCCTTTTCCGGCACCGTCTGCGCGATCCAGTCGAGATACGGTGGATTGCCATTCTGTATGGGCAGCGAGATGACCTCGGCGACGCTATATGGATGATTCTCGCGGACGAACTTGCTCAGCTCGTCGATGCGACTGGTGCGCGTCTTCATCATCAGCAGGAACTCGTTGTCCTCGTTGACCTTGCCCTCCCACAGGTAGATTGACTCGATCTGGGGAACAATGTTGACACAGGCGGCCAGTTTCCGTTCGATGATGCTGCGTGCCAGTTTCCTAGCCGTTTCCCGATCCGGAGTGGTCACAAAGGCCACCGAACTGCTGCCAGCTTGGTAGGATTCACCCGTTTGGTCGCTCATCATGGAAATGGAACTACTGGAACTGGAACTGGACGGTGGGGCACTGGAAGAGAAGCACCTTTCCTGGCTGGCAAAGCACGAACTGCTTGTGGCTAAGGCCGGGCGAATTGTGACGGCGGCGATGGTGGAAACGAACAACAGGTCGCGCGCAAACACCCAGCGAAAGGGCAAAAACCTTGCACAGATCCGATATTGCATTTACATGCACTTTGCACGGCACAGCAATAATAATCCCCAAGTTCGGTGCAAATGACAGATAGCAATAACAAAACAATAACCGGCTGCGGCGTTGCCGGACTGCGACGAGCTGATGCTCGCTGTTTAGCAATTTTTGGGCTAAAAAAAATTAAGGCTTCCTTACACTGAGTTTTCATCAATTCATGAATTTTGTTTATAAACATTTTCATAAAAAATAAGATCAGTAAAATTTACTATATGTAGTTGATGTAAGATATATACAAAATTAAACGGTAACATTATTCGTAACTTTTATATCAAAGCTTGATATTAAACGTTTAAATTATTTTGTAAAACCAAAACTTAATAAATAGACGTTATTGTCAAAAATCTTGTTGAAGAATATGAAACTGTTTGATCCAATCTGAATTTGTATTTGTATGTGTAATTCAGAGTTGTGTGTATATTTTTAATATGGTTGACAAACGAAATCTAATAAGACCCTGATTCCAATTAGATAAAGAGGTGTCCTAGCTTATTGGTGAATTTCTGTCAAGTGCCTCTGGTCACATCCTTGTAACGGTGCTTTTCCAGTGCCCGTCGAATGACCTGAACCGATCCGCCGAACGGTTTATTCGTTCAATTCGCTTTCAGCTTTTCAAGCTGCAAGCCGTATTTTTTCCTGTTCCTTTTTTCGTCCACAGTTCTCTGTCTTTAGTTTAATTGTCGATAAAACTGTGTGCTTTTGTGTTAAATGTGCCTGGTCGAGCACCTGCTGCCCTCCAGTGAGACACGGATTCGGTCAGAGGGCCGGAAAATGACCGCCGATTGGCAAGGATTCACCCTAACCTCGCCGACACGCGCTCGCCCTTCCAGTGGCTCCAGTAGTGATCCCGGAAGTGGCCAACACCAGCACCACCACCACCGAAACGATCCAAACGATGGACCTGCATCCTGTCGAGCTGTTGGGCGCCACGTGGCCATCACGCTGCTCTGGCTCCTTGTCCTTTGCGGTGCGACTGCTGCCGGCACGCCGGGATCAGAGGACACGCGGTGCGATGCGGGTCAATTCCAGTGCAGAGACGGCGGCTGCATCTTACAGGCGAAGATGTGCGACGGACGCGGAGACTGCAAGGACGGCACGGATGAATTGGAATGCGGTGAGCATTTAATGTCAATTCCGGGGAGATTTTGTATCCACATGGGTGGGGATCCCGAAGATCATAAATATTTTAGGCGCTAAATATAAACCCGACTGATTTATAAATTAACATGAATGTTATGTAATATAGTTTTTCACATTTTATATCTACAAATCCATTTAGAAGGGAGCGGTTAACGTATTCCATCCAGTTTTTGGTGCCAAAAGGGAAAGGAACACATCTTTATACTCTTTCATTAATGCTCTATGATGTAGTTTTACTTTAAACCTAAGAAAATTCAAATACGTTTTATTTAACAGATTATTAGTTTTAAGTAAAATCAGAGTTAAACAGAACCTTACATTTTTAATTTTCAATCCCGATTTACAGACTACCTACTGTGCCGAGCGCCACATTGGTTCCCGTGTGCCCAGCCACACGGAGCCTGCCTGGCAGCGGAACTAATGTGCAACGGCATCTACAACTGTCCCGGCGGCGAGGATGAGCTGAACTGCCCGGCCCGCTCCGGATTTCGATTTGGGGACACACACCGCATGCGCAACTGCAGCGATCATGAGTTTATGTGCCAGCAGGACCGCACCTGCATCCCGGATGACTTCATGTGCGACGGACGGGCGGACTGTGTGGACAAGTCGGACGAGGTGGCCGGGTGCACGCAGGCGGCGGCCACCTGCTCCTCTTCGGAGGGTCACCTCTGTGCCAACGGACGATGCCTGCGCCGGAAGCAGTGGGTCTGCGATGGTGTCGACGACTGCGGCGATGGCAGCGACGAAAAAGGATGCGGTGAGTCACACATTTCTTAATTTTCATATATTTATAATATATATCTTTAAATAAAATTTACTTCACATTGTCCAAAGTTGAAGAAATATATATATATATATATATATTCATGCGTTAAAACATGTTTTTATTAAATAGGTTTAATGTTTAATATATTTCATATTTCATATTTATATGTACATAATTAATTGAGGAATATTTATTTATCTCAGCTTAAAATTAAATAAATATCGAAAAATATCAACAAATTCTAAAAAATCAAAGGCTATACCCATTTGAAAAATGTAAAAAAGCATTAAAGCAAAACAAATTTATTTACCGTATAAAACCATTATCAGAAAATTTGAAAAAATATTCATCCAAAGTAAATATAATACCCTTTAATATTGTAATACCCTCTGCAAAAGTATAAAAAGTACTTAATAAATGAGTGACTAAAAATGTACAGATATACATATGTATTACAGCCATAGCATCATTACTTATAGGCATATTACAATTATTACCAGTATATTACCAAGCTATCTATTCTTATAGCGAACCTGTGTCAGCCCCAGATGGGCAAATTCCTGTGCCGCAACCGCGAATCCTGCCTGCTCCTTAGCGAGGTGTGCGACGGGCACAGCGACTGTTCCGATGGGAGCGATGAGTCGGACAGCTGCCACTCCAAGCCGGACTGCGAGGTGAAGAAGTGTGCCCCGGGCGCCAAGTGCCACATGATGCCGTCCGGAGGAGCCGAGTGCCACTGTCCGGCGGGATTCCGGCAGGCCAAGTTCGAGGACAGGTGCGAGGATGTCGACGAGTGCCAGGAGCGAGATGATCTCTGCAGTCAGGGATGCGAGAACACTTCGGGTGGATATCGATGCGTCTGCGATGCTGGCTATCAGCTGGCCCGAGATAATCGCACCTGTCGCGCCATCGTACACGGCTCGCCGGATCAGCAACCGCTCCTGCTGTACACCACCCAGATGACCGTGGTGGGCATGCACCTGCGCGAGGACAATGTGCGCAACCATGTCTTCCAGTTGGCCGGCAATCTGAGCAAGGTGATTGGCGTGGCCTACGACGGCAGTCACATCTACTGGACAAACATCCAGAACGAGGCGGAGAGCATCGTGAAGGCCAGCGGCGATGGTTCGCATTCGGAAATCCTGCTAACCTCCGGCCTGGACGCACCCGAAGATCTGGCCGTGGACTGGCTGACGCAGAACATCTACTTTTCGGACAACATACTGCGGCACATTGCGGTGTGCTCGAACGATGGTCTCAACTGTGCCGTGCTGGTCACCCAGGATGTCCACCAGCCGCGATCCCTGGCCCTCTGGCCGCAACGTGGTCTTATGTTCTGGACGGATTGGGGTGCCAAACCCATGATAGGTCGTGCCTCCATGGACGGCACACGATCGCGCCCGATTGTGAGCGATAATATCCACTGGCCCAACGGCATTGCGTTGGATATGCACCAGCAGAGGATCTACTGGGTGGATGCCAAGCTGGGGAGCGTGCAAACGGTGCGACCCGACGGCACTGGTCGACGTACGGTGCTGGACGGGATGCTGAAGCATCCCTATGGCCTGGCCATATTCGAGGATCAGCTGTATTGGTCGGACTGGGTCACAAAGAGTCTGCATGCGTGCCACAAGTTCTCCGGCAAGGGTCACCGCGTCCTGGCCAAAGATCGTACCATATACGCCGTTCACATCTATCATCCGGCCAAGCAGCCGGACTCCGAGCACGGCTGTGCCAAGGCCAGGTGCTCTCACCTCTGCCTCCTCGCCGAACCGGAGGCTGGCGGCCATAGTTGCGCCTGTCCGGATGGTATGCGTCTGGCGCCGGATCAGCAGCGCTGCACATTGACCGAGAAGCGACAGCGATTGTTTGTGGGCCTGGCCCAGGTGCTGCTGGAGATCGAGCACACCGCCTTTGGGCGCCACGTGGTGAGCAAGTCGCACACACTGCCCTGCGCCATCAACGAAATGGTGTACAATCGCATCAACGGCAGCCTCATCATAGCGGACAATGACCAGCGTCTGATACTGGAGTACCAGCCGGAGCAGCAGGAGACCAGCGTCCTGGTGCGCTCCAATCTGGGCAATGTGAGTGCTCTGGCCTTCGACCATCTCAGTCGCAATCTGTACTGGGCGGACGTGGAGCGGGGCGTCATCGAGCTGCTCTCCCTGCAGACCCGTCATCGTGCCCTCATCCGTTTCTTTCCGGGCCAGGAGTGGCCCATTGGGCTGAGTGTTATGCCGGCGGAGGGCTATATGTATGTGGTGCTCAAGGCCAGGCGGCACACACACATCGACAGGATACCGCTGAGCGGCAAGGGTGAGCAGGTGCATGTCTTCGAGGACGATTTGGGCGATGATGATATCAAGCTAGCCGCCGATTACGATACCCATACGCTCTTCTGGTCGGACAGCGACCTGGGCAGGATTAGCTATTCGGATTATAAGCAGCCGCAGGGCCAAACCTTCCGGGGTAAACTGAGGCGACCGTATAGCCTGGCTCTGGTGCAGCAGGATCTGTTCTGGAGCGAGTTGGGCTCACCGGGTGTCTACTGGACGCACAAGAGCAACATGGGACCACGCAAGCGAATCGACATTGAGGCCAAGGGTGATCCGGGTGCCATTCTGCCCTTTGTGCCCATTGCCGCACCAGCTCGCATTCCACTGGCGGCCAGTGCGCCGGTCAGCCGGGAAACGCATCCCTGCCAGCATCTGAATGGCGGCTGCTCGCACATCTGCGTGGGCGAGGGTCCCTTCCATGCCGTCTGCCTGTGTCCGCCCGGCTTTGTGTACCGCGATGCGGGCAATCGCACCTGCCTGGAGGCCCTGGACTGCGAGTTCCGGTGCCGCAGCGGCGAGTGCCTGACGATGGCCCACCGGTGCAACGGACGGCGCGACTGCGTCGACAACTCGGACGAGATGGACTGCGACGAGGAGCACCGCCGCAAGCCGAAGGTCATGTGCTCGCCCCGCCAGTTCCCCTGCCACAGCGGGGATCAGTGCGTGGCCAAGGAGCGACGGTGCGACGGGCACATGGACTGCCACGACCACTCGGATGAGCAGCACTGCGAATTGTTTGGTAAGCGAATCCGCAGAAGAATGCGGAGTAAATGCCTCCACTCCAAGCGGAAAAAATA